AGAGAGAGAGAGAGATTATTTAAGTGCAAGTTTTGAAAATATGGTTCAAATTGAATGGTATTCAAGAGAATATTTATTTCCAAGGTATGTACAAGAATTTTTGTCATCTATGTGTACGTGTGCAGTCAATCTAATTGATTAGTTGATGCGATTTTAGAATTCCATGATAATTATATAAAGCTTTACGGTTCTATAGATATTGCTTTATTTGGAAGTTTCATAGCTAGATTAAATATGATATCTGTGTTAGTATTGATTTGAGATGGTTCCTAGAAAAAAATTTCGTAGACCAAAATATTTAAGGAGGCCTATCTAACAGGAACCACTTAGGATTATCATCAATCTCGTGGCATTCATAATGTTTTCTTCGTTTTTTTGATGCTGTACATTCATAGTGTTATACACATAACAATACCAAAATCAGTAAACAAATAACATCCAAAAGGGCTTCCCAAACTACAGCAGTATGCCTAAAACTATACTTCTTCCTTTACTTCTTTTTCCCTAAACATATATCACCAACATATGAATAACCAAGGCAACATAAAGGAATGTTCTCAACAATATGTTATCCACCAACAATGAGCATGGAAAATAGATGCACAACCATAATAGAGATGCTGGAAATGAACCAATCCTTGGGTCAATTCATTGTAATGAAAAGAAGCACTTCAATGGATATCTGGTTAGATAAATAGAAGGAAAATAGTGTAGGGCATGAGGCTGGGCAGCACTTGTTTTTAGGTTGGCCTTGCAAAGGTTAGGGTGCTCCCTTGTGACCAAGCCACCTCTAAAATTTTTACAGAGAAAGGGAGGAAGTATGGGTGAGAAGATAGAGAGAGACTAGAGCACCATAGCTTTCTTCCAACCCATGCCACTTAAAGCTTCCATATTCCAATGTGGCATTGCAAAGCTTAGGGTGCTCCCTCGTGACAAAAGCACCTCTGATATTTTGTGTGTGTGTGTGTGTGTGTGTGTGTGTGAGTAGAGAGAGAGAGAGAGAGAGAGAGAGAGAGAGAGAGAGAGAGCACCATAGCTCTCTCCTCCAACCCATGCCTTTTAAAGCTTCCATATTCCAACTAGTGATTTTGGTGAATGAGTTTTTCTTACACTTGGCGAAAGGGGTTTGTGCAAATATTATTATATGGGCATTCCAAGTCTCTGTGCGTCGATGATGCATGTTGGGCATTTCAGGTTTTCATCCCGATGACATGTGTTGTATGAGCATCTTTGTGATGTGATGGTTAGTGATATAATCATTTCTTTGTAATCCATGCACTTGTCTAGTTGCCTTTCTGAGCATTCATGGGGGATTGGACCTTTTGTGGTTCACCCTTTTGATGTGCTAATATGGTTATTTGGGCAGTTGAGTATCTCTTAGTGAGATATATCTCATTGTGAGATTGTATGACAACTCATTGCAACAACAAAGAATCAACGCCTCAGTAATGGATGCATGTATATCGTCTATAGTGCGGGTGCCCTACACATTTATTGTTGGGTATTGTGTGAGAGAGTTGTTAATCCAAAAGCATATGCCATGATGTTAATAAGATGGTTGATGAACACATAATAAGTCACGAGTAATGAGCGTGGGAAAGTGTGTACTTGATGCCATTGAGTGGATAAAATATATATGGATGGACTGTGGATCAACTGAGGGTGTATAGCTCATGTGGTTGTAGATAGAGCTCACTGTTTCAGTGGATGGATGATTTTATAGAGCAAAACCATGTCAAAAATAGTGGGAGGATGTTGGGCACATTTTTTCTCCATGTTTTTTGTTTTCCAAAATTAGCCGTTTTCAAAAATCACCAATATGCCCGTAACTTCTAATATTTTGCATGGACACCTTATACCAAGTGCAAGAAGAAATCATTCCCCAATAACCATCCATTGGAATATGGAAGCTTTAAGAGGCAGGGGTTGGAGGAGAGAGCTATGGTGCTCTAGTCTCTCTCCCTCTCCTCACCCCTACTTCCTCTCTCTCTCTCAAAATGTGAGAGGTACCGTGGTCACAAAGGAGCACCCTAGGCGTTGTAAGGCTACCATGAAAACATCCACTGCCCATGCTCATGCCATACACTATTTTCCTTCTACTTCTCTAACCTAATATCCGTTGAAGTGCTTCTTTCATTACAGTGAATCTACCTAAGGATTGACTGATTAACAGCATCTCTTTGTGGTTGTGCATCTATTTTTGATGCTCAATGTTTGTGGACAACGGATTGGTAAGGATGTTCCTTTCTCTTGCCTTGGTTATTCATGTATTAATGATATATGTTTAAGGGGAAATAAGTAAAGGAGGAAGTATAGTTTTGGGCATATAGTTGTAGTTTGAAGAGCTCTTTTGGATGTTATTTGCATGCTGATTTTGGTATTGTTAATTGCCTAGGAATTTATGCATGCTATGTGATCGATGATATTCCTAAGTGCTTCCTGTTAGATAAACTTCATTGCATACTTTGGTTTTTTGCTAGATTTTCATGTAGTAGCCATCTCAAATCGATCCTAACATTTGGTATCAAAGCAATGTATTTTGCTTCCATGGTGGAGGGTAAAATGCACTTTTGCTTTTTACTTCCCCACGATATACATGCCGTAACAAAGGTCAGCACCCATCTTGGTGTGGATTAAATATGCATCACTATAACCTTCAAGAATTAGATCCTTAGTCCCATAGCATTAGCATTGGCCATGACTTGTGTCCCTTTAAAAATCTAAATATCATCTTAACCAATTTCCAATGTTCAATTCCCACGTTGGTCCTATATCGAGTAGCAACCCCCATAGCGTAAGCACATGAGGTCCAAAACAATTCATCAAATAGTTAAGAGAACCTATGGCTTGTGTATAATGATATTTCTTCACAATTATTAGTTTTGGACGCATTTCTACGGATGCTTTACAATTTTTGTCAATTGGGTTGGCCATTGGTTTGGAGTCCACCATATTAAATTTTTTAGTATCTTAGGGGCATAATGCTCTTGATTAAGATATAAAAATGTTTTATTTCTATATTTAGTCACTTTGATTCCTACGATATATATTTCATCACAAATTTGGAGGACAACCACTCTTTACAATCAGCAGTGGCTTTTCCATCACTCCCTATTAAACTATGTCATGTATGTATAGGGCTAAAGCTAAATTTACACCTGAACTCCATCGAGTATATACACAACTTACTTTAGTTTCTTGGCTTTGAGATTCAAAACTTTCAATTTGACTTCCTCTTCCAATTTTTTTTGAGGAAATGTTAACTTTATAATTATAAAATACAGTATTACATCATCTAAAATAAAGAAGGCAATCCACAAGTTGGGCGCTCAGACTACAGGTAGAGAGGGTTAGTGAGAGAAAGAGGGAAAATAAGAGAGGGTTACAATAAAATAAACAAGTGGAAAAAATCAAGATACATGGATTAGAGTTGTAGAAAGGGAGGGTGGTTTTGGGAGATAAGAGCCCATGAGAACCCAGGAGAAAGTTAAATCTGCTGCATCACGAGTGGATGGTCTGATGAGTGCTGTCTGTATTAAGGCGGGAACACCGTGGGGGTGAAGTAGCAACTCAGCTGCAGGAGGTAAAGCCAGTGCTAGCTGAGTTGCACCTGTCCGTGAGGTCCCTGCATAAGATATGAAGAAGAAGAGGCGTGCAGTAGGGTAAGAGGAACGAGGAGTGCAAGAGAAGAGAATGTGAGTCATAGGTGGTGAGAGATATGGGTAAGGAGAGAGTATAGAGTGAGAGTGATGTGTGGTGGGAAGGAAAAGAAGGTGCATTAGGAGAGAAGTGTGTGTACAAAGAGGGAAAGGGGGTAATGAGGTGGAGATAAGAAAGAGATGGAAGCGAGGGGAGGAGAGAGAGAGAGGAAAAGGAGAGTAAGTTGCGAGGCTTACACACTAGAAGGCCTCCTCGTAGGTAAATTTTTTCTTCTTTACTTTTTTTTTTTCCTTCCTTTTTTTCCCCCTTTTTTCTTGTTCTCTTTTCTTTTTCTTTTTTCCCCCCTTATTCCACTCTCTTTTTTTTTCTTGAGAGGGGAAGGAGAAGATAAGAGAATGAAGAGAGATAGAAGCTGAGTGTTTCAGAGAATGGAGGGTGCACCTCATGTGTTGCAAGCTCCTTCTTTGTCCAACCTATCTACTTCGGTGTTGGCCTCTCGAAGGATGTGCTTGAAGGTTACCTGTGGTAGTGAACTGCATAAAAAGGAGATATGCTCACAAATAGAATTCAGCTGCCAAGGGGTCTGTGAATGTTGGGTGTCCCAGGAGATAGTATTGCTGGAATCCAACTCTATTATAAGTCCCTGGAATTGTGACCCATATTGAATTACTTGCTTGAGGCCTTCTCGGAGAGCCGAGGCTTATGCTGTGGTGGAGTCTGTGATCTCTATGTACCCCAAGAAGGCGAGAAATATACCATCTGAATTTGCCATAGTACCTCCAAAACCAGAGGAGCCAAGATTTCCTAAGGGTCAGCCATCTGTGTTAAGTTTAAGGAATCCTGGCTGAGGTGGGGCCACTGAGCTCTGAATCTGGTCGAGAGAGCCGAGAGGTTCAGGAGGGAATCCCAATTAGCTAGAAAGTGAGAGATAGGAAGGTTGGCAAAGATAGGGATGACTTTTCCCCTGAGGAGATAAAGATGAGGGCGGAATCAACAATAGAACGTTCATGGCTAGAGTGTCCTCTAAAGGTCCTAGAGTTTCTTTCCAACCAGATGCTCAAGAGAAGAGCTGCACCGACAGTTGCTGCAGTTTTCTGCCATTTCTAGGAAATGGCGGGGATAGAAGAGCAGAGAATAGACTAGCTAGGGAAGGGGGGGAGTAGCCCATTGAAGGTCCAAGAGATTAAGAAGAGATGACCAAAGGCAGGAAGAGACCTCATAATGGATGAAGAGATGAGGGTTAGTCTCCAAGATGTGGAGACACATAATGCGTCGATTGGGTAAAGAGGGCCCATGTCTCTGCAGTTGGTCTCATATAAGGGCCTTGCCCTTACAAATGCAACATATGCCTCCATTTAATGATCATCAACATCATAATGATAGCTATTGCTAGTATTATCCTTATTGAGGATTTCCCTATTACTGGTGAAAATATTTCTCGGTAATCAATACATTCCTTTTGACTTAGGGAAAGGTTTCTATACTCCCCCTACAGCATAAAAGGTATATGCTTCCCCTCCCTTCCAGCCATCCAATTTAAGATCAAGTGAGCCATACAACGCTTGATCTAGATCTGACGCCTCAAGAGTATTTTATTTTTGATTTTTTTGTACAATTTGTATGAGTATGAAATTTGGTACGTATCATCTTCTCAATGGGGCACACCTACGAAAAATATTTTTAAAAAAATTTCGATAACATAAAATGACTAAAATACCCTTTGAAGCTTTCAGGGGTATTTTAGCCATTTTATTTTATTGATAGTATTTTTATATTTTTTTTGCAAATGCGAATTCAAGAGAGGGGTGGACGTCCAAAATTTGGTATCAAAATAATTTCTAGAAAAAATATTAAAAATAAAATAGTGTAGAGATGTGACAGTGATTGTGGTCATCTCATCCGTCCATTCAGAATGGATGGTTGGATAAGGGGAAGCATACAATTTTTATGCTGTAGGGGAAGCATAGAAAGCTTGCCCTTTGACTGAACCCCTTAGCCACCAATCTAACTTTATACTTATCAACATACCATCAAAATTACTAACAATTGTCTTTCTACTTTGAGGGCAAATCCGTTATGATCTATGTTTTATTTTTTATTAGGGACTTATGCTCATCGTTCATAACTTCCATCCAACTACTCGCATCATTCAAGCTAATCGCTTCTTTAAAAGTTTGGGGTACTTCGTTTAATCCATTTTAACATAATTGTCTAAATAGCTAGGTCATTTAATTTCCCTAGTACTTCTTCTAGGCTCATAAGATTTAGGACTTTGATAATCTCTAGAAGAACTTCTAACATCCACTATGCTAGGGTCTTTTGATTCTACATGAAAAGAGAAAAAAACTAGAACCTAAAACAGTTGAGTGCTATTTGTGGGGTATTTGGCTGGTTCCAAGGGATATGGATTTTATAATGACGAAACTAAAGAAATTATAGAGAGCAGAGAAGCTCACTTCTTTGAAGGCCTTGAAATACCTAAAATTAAGCCAGCTGGACTTTTAGAATAAATTACTTAGAAGGGCTACTACAAAGGCATTTATCTCCTATTTAGTAATGATAAGAAACTAGATGGGTTGAACTTTTCTATCTGGAAAATTAAATTGTTGTCTTGCTTCATACTATGGAGTTGCTACATAAGATTAATGAAGAGAAACTAGCTGAACCTATTGATGATACAACTCTTAGGGATGGGCAAACGTGTACCAAGTGGAAAAATGATGATCTCACATGTAGAGGTGCCATCTTAAATTGTCTTAGTGATAGATTACATAAAGTATTTGAATGTTATGCCAATGCTAAAGATTTGTCGACTAATTGAAAAGAGGCATTCCGATGATAACTATGTGGCTAACTGTGAGTTATATGAAAGATAAAATATCTATGAAATGAAGGAAAATTAATCGGTGCTTGAATGTTTGGCACAGAAGGCTTGGTCACATTGATTATGAAAGAATAACAAGCTTGAATTCTATTCATTGTTGGAATGTATTTCAAATTTGTCTTTGATGCTGTTTTTCTAATTCTCTTGTTGTAATTATCTTTGAATCCCCAAATTATTTTTCAGACTCAATGATTTCCAACCAACATCTTGTTTAAAGAAATGTGATGCTCGGTCTGGATTGGTTTTTTGACTTTGAGACAGTGAAATTTCAGCATTTCTATTAGTTTCATCTTACGTAGTTTTCTCCATGTACTTTTACCTGGTCATGGGTTGAAAAATCCACGAGATATGTTCCAAGAAAATTCTCTTAACAGAAGCTATGTAATGATTGTTAAGTTTGCTTGATGTTCTTGATTCTACGCCTTCTGCTGTTACGTATTTTATATGACTACACTCCATTAAGCATGCTTTTTTTTGTGTAAATGCAACAAAATCATAACGTGGATAAAAAATTCCTTCTTAATCAGTGCATTGTTTGATGGCTAGGGAGTACAGGGAGCCGAATCCTTAAAATTTCTCAAATTTGAGGACCTTGCTATTGTTTTATGACACTTAACCTTCAATAAATGGCTTTATTTCCTTCTATAGTATCTATATTAAAAAATTGCCTCACAATTACTGAAACTGTATTTAAATTTATTTCATGTAGCCAGGCAGAACTACATTGTTTGTAAAAAAAATTATTATATTGATCATTACAACCAATAACTGCTTCTTTGCAGGGATGATTTTAGACCTATTGAGAAAGAATTTTGCAAAAATACTGTTCAAGGAAGATACTTACTGTCGGATGATCATGGTACGTGCCAAATAAAGTGTATTTTGCTTGCTCTTTCTTATGAGTTGCTAAATCTGTTCTGTACCATCTGCCATTTTATTAATGGATTTCTCTGATTTCTTTTTCTTCTTGTTTGGATGTCACTTGCTATTCTTATAGTATTGAAAGTGAAGAGATGAATAACATAGCAATCAATCAACTTTCATTATTTTTATCCATTCACTTTTTTTTTTTCCTCTCATTGCTATTCATGGCAGCAACTCTTGGTCTTGTGCAGGCCATGTATGTGATGTTCTCTCAATTGATCCATGGTCTCAATGTTGCCCTGAAAGAGGAGAGCGTTTCTCTTGTCAGTGAGTTTTTCTCTAAGTCGCCACTTCACAAATACTAAATATTGACAACTTGTGTCTTTATGTTGAGTTTTGTGTCGCAGGGGATGTAATCTTGTCTCACAATGTTGTAACTCTTATGAATATTGTGTATCTTGCTGCTTGAGTCCAGATCGGGTATATTTCACAGCAAGGGCATGCATTTTTGTTATCTCCATGTATCATTGAGATTGATTTTTATGTTTCATCTCATGGTGTCCACAGACAAATAAAGAGTTTGCATTGAAAGTGAGGATAGGCAAGCCAGTAACTGCAGGTAATTGGAGTTTAAAATTATGATTTTTCATCTGGGAAGGTATATTGAATATATTGATATTGGTTATTCTGAATTTAATATATTCTACTTTCATTCAATTCCATTATTGCAGGCACTTATGCTAGTGTGTTTGATTTTTGTGCTGGAAGGTGCCGCCACAATTCTGCTAGCGTGGTACTGCATGACTCTAACCTTTAAATTGGTTCATGGCTTTCCTTTCTTCTATGGGAAAGTATGATAATATCCAATGGTTTATGTAAAACTCGTATGGTCATCACCATCCAATGGAAAAATGACTGGTGGTCTAGGGAGATTACATTCCACCATAGGAGTCGTTGCATAGTGGTTCCCCCTCAGTGTCTAAGACTGTTCATCATTCCAATGGACCATGATGATCCAATGGACCATGATGATCCAATGGACTACGGTCCTTCCATATCCCATTTGATTATCAGTTTCTTTCCCCCCATCATTGTTAATTTCACTTTTCTAACTTTGAATTATTATTCACTTTAATACCCTCCCACTCTTCAAAAAAAAATGAACATGTTCGGCCAGGCTAGTGGAATTTGTCTTAGCTGATTGTCATCATCATCATAGCCTTATCCCAACTATTTAGGATCGGCTGCACGAATCATGTTCCGTCATTCTACTCTATCAAGGGCCATACCCTCAGTAAGATCATTAGTCCCCAGATCTTTTCTCATTACTTCTATTGATGTTCCTTTGGGCCTTTCTCTTGCCCTTTAAGAGCCTTCCACTTGAACCAAATGACACCACCTAACCGGTATTGTATTGAGTCTATGTTGTACACAGCCAACGCACCTAAGTCTACTTTCCCTCATCTTATCGCCTATTGAAGTCGCACCTAAATTCCCTCGAATGTATTCATTTCAAATTCTATCCTTTCTTGTCGTGCCACTCATCTATTTCAACATCTTCAACTTAGCTACACTCATCCCTCGAATGTATTCATTTCAAATTCTATCCTTTCTTGTCTTGCCACTCATCTATCTTAACATCTTCAACTCAGCTACACTCATCCTATGGGTATGTTGTTTTTTGACCGTCCAACAGTTCCATCCCAAAAAGCAAAGCTTGTCTGACATCTGTACTATAGAACTTGCCTTTTAGCTTCATTGGTATGTGGCGATCGCATAAAGCTTCGGATGCACATCTCCTCTTCGCTCATTCAGCTCTAATTCTATGTTCGACATCTTCCTCAATCCCTCAATTTTCCTGAATTATTGACCCAAGATATTGAAAATACTCTCTTTTAGGTATTTCTTGGTCATCAATCTTAACTGCTTTCTTGTATTTATTCATATTATTACTAATCTTGCATTTCATATATTCTGTCTTAGTCCCGCCAAATTTTAAACCTTTAGATTCTAGAGCATTCCAATGTTCTAACTTTGCGTTGACGCTGCTTCTAGTCTTATCTATCAAAACTATGTCATTCACGAAAAACATACACCACGGTACCTCATCTTGTAGGTGCTTAATCAACTCGTCCTTAACTAAAACAGAGAGATATGGGCTCAACACTGACCCCTGATATAGGCCTATTGTCACTGAAAACTCACTTGTCTCACCTCTAGTTGTCTGCATACTAGTTAGCGCTCCCTCGTACATATCTCTCATTGTATCAATAAAGCATCTAGAGCCTCATTTCTTTCCACCCATCAAATTAAATCTCTAGGTAGTAGGTACCCTATCGTAAGTTTTCTTTAAATCAATAAAGAACATGTAGAGGTTTTTTTCCTTTTCCTGAACTTTTCAATCAATTGCTTAAGTAGGAAAATGGCCTCAATTGTTAACCTTCCTGGTATATAACCGAGTTGATTTTCTAACACGCTGGTTTCATGCCTTAGTCGTTGCTCAATCTCTCTCTCCTATAGCTTTATAGTGTAGCTCATAAGTTTGATCCCTCATTAGTCCGCACAATTATGTATGTCTCATTTATTTTGGTAAAATAGGTATCACAATACTTTTCCTCTATTTGTTTGGCATTTTCTTTGTTCTCGACACCCTGTTAAATGGCTTCGTCAGCTAGCATATGCCAATCTCCTCCATGCACTTTCAAACCTCTTTCGGGATACCATCTGCTCCTAAAGCCTTTGATATTTTTACGTTCTTTCACTTCAGATATCCTAATCCTGCAAATGTATCTATGATCTTCTCCCTCATTTATGCCAAAGGTTCCTCTTTTGATACCATTGTGTTCGGCATTTGTGTGCACACACACACACACACAATATATATATATATATATATATAGATATATATATATGAAAAATGCTGAGATTAGCCCCTAGCTCATATGAACATATGGGCCCAACGGCCCAGA